TTGTTCACGCACTTTACCGTCCAGTCTTGACACCGCAATGACACTGTATTCACTGTCGGATCTACTTGATTGTACATAGTATAGACAACCATAAATTGCATTGGTGGTGAAAATTAGCGGCCTGTTTATATTAGGTTGTTGCAAAAATAATGTCCGTTTTTCTAGGCCTATATTTCAAATAACTTTTTTCCATCGAACTTTCTTTTTCGATATAGAATTTGCATATCATTGGAAAGCTCTCTTCATATACTTTCTAATGATGGTGGAAATAGGCTGCTATCCTCATCTGTGAGAATTTCACCAGCATCTCGCATAACTGCACTCCAAATCGAAATTTCGATGCTTGAGTCTCCGTGGCCACAATTCAGGAGCAAATGAACGAATTCTTCTGAAAACATAGCATTTCTATTGGATGAAGATTGTTTACCTACTGCGTGCTTATGTGGATTTTTGGAGATATCTGGACTGAGAAATGGACGCCTCGAAAGAGATACTCACTGCTGGCATTCTATGGATCAGAAATTTCTCATGATTAAAGCAATCGCCAAAGCTTCGCCCATTTCTGTAAGCTTGAGATTAGCGCACCTCAACTACAATATTTGAAGAGAAACTCAGCTATTCAGTGCGCGAAGAATTTCAAATTTTTACAATTTGACACTTACAAGCCTACAGCAAGTAGGCTTAAAAAAGTGAACTTTTTTGAATTTTTGTCTTTTCTTTTCGCAGAGCTCTTTCGTTGGAGTCTTTTCTATACCCTCATGAACTCTTGGCCTGCTGCTACAAAATAAGCTGATTGCCAGCCATGCGAACAAAACTTGAAGGAAGTTGTAAGCTCTTAAAAAAGAGGTTTTCGAGAGAAAAACTTTTAGATTTTTGACGCGTGGTTTTCTTCCCAACTGCGGTATCAGTATGAGCAGGAGCGCGCTAAATTACGAAAGGTTTGCTGTTTTTGATGGTCTTGACTGCATTAAAAAATATGAAGACTGAACGAAGTTATAGCCTTCCAAAGTGAAAATTTGCAAAACGGACATTATTTTTGCAACAACCTAATATTTGGCGGAGTGAAAAGAGGTCAACTTTTTTGGGCGCGACAAAATCCAGTATTTGCATAAAAATCATTCACTCAGATAATCGCCGGGGGCAGGCGGTCCGCAAACTCGCGCTTTTCTGCAGGCGGTCAGCAGAATTTTGGGGCGTGGCCAAACCTTCAGCGGGCGGTACTTCCGCGTTCTGCCAGCGGGCAGCAATACAGAATTTTCTGCGAGCGCTCGTCAAATAATATCTTCCAGCGAGCGCTGGCCAAACTTTCAGCAAGCGCTCGGACTCTTTTTAGGTATTTTCGGGCGTACGTCGAGCGCAGGTAAGACTCTGTGTGGCAGAGGTGTCACCGTTGGTTTAATTACTCAAGTTTGAGGTACTTTCTCTCAGCGGAAAGTACCTGGGGGTTGCGCGGTCCTCCACAAAGGAACGTGCGGCCCTCGAAATTTTTGCATATTCTCGCGGAAAGTCCGCGAGAATGCGGCCACTGCGCCGCAGATAATCCATAAAGAAACCGCGATTGTTCTTCAAGCATTCGTCTTTAATTTTGCCAACTTTCTTCCAAATTTCTGCAAGCGGGCCGCAAAAAATCAACGAACTATTTTTCCGGTGCGCGCTTGCTCAAAATTCGCATAGCCGCCTGCCCCCGGCGGTTATCTGAGCAGTACCAGTGCGTCACCTCTGCTTCGCAGAGGCTAGCACTGGTCCTACTCTACAGTCTTTGAGCAACATCTTCTGTTAAGGAAGGCAAAGTGTGACACGCCCACAGCAGGTACTGGCTCTATGCACCCCATGAATATCGTGCCGTGCGGGTCTGCGTGTCCATGCTTGTCCTCAGAGCTAAACAACCCTGCCTCTCTCAAATTGCTTTGAATCTCCGCGGAAAATTCCGATCGTGAAGAATATGATGTCAACAACCATTCATTCTGCGAGGTTTTCATGTGAAACCGGTAAAACTAGCGTGGCGATACTTTTTGGTGAACGGTTAGTGCAATTTTGAATCCGTTTTATCAAGGCGTGTTGGCTAATTAGAACAACAACAGATGCATACTACATTTTCAGCCTATAATATTTCCAGCTATATAGTGAGTTCTTTGAAAATCAACGATCAGTTGCGTCATTTCTTTTTGACGCCACTTTTGCACGAAATTAACTCTTTGTCATGTATCTGCGCCGAATTCCAGGGCTTAGATGATGTCCAAATTAAAAGTCTTACAGCTACTACAGATTCCTTTCATATCTCGTTTGCCTTAGCAAATGTCTGGTGGATCCATTTGACTCGCGATTTTCAGCGACCGAAACAGATTCGCTCACTTCTTTACATAATTAAACTAAGTGCTGCTGGCGTGCTATAGCCAAAAAATCAGCTCGAAATCTTGGCTGTAGCTTGCGCTACGAATTACACTCATTCGCAGAGGCTCGCTTTGGTCCTACTCCGTACGCCTTACTCATTCATGCCTTATGATGGCATGAAACTCACCGGACGATGCCGAATATCACGAATAAAATGTAAATAACTACTCATTCCAAAAGCTTTTCCATGTGAGAACGGTAATTTTGAGAGGATGAAATTTTTTGCGGAAGAACAAATGCAAGTTTGAATAGGTTCTTGAACTTTTTTCTGATTAGGTAGTGCTATAAGGACAATAACACCCTGACCCACATCTCTGTGCAAAAAATCTTCTCAAATGCTTAAGTAAAACCTTGGCAAATCGACCATCGAGCAATCAATACACTTTTCGGCTTCGTTTTTGTAAAGTAGTAGACTTTTGATCCCTTTTTTGGACCAAAGCCCATAGCTTGCACATTGAGATGCCAAGCACATCCATGACTTTGCAAAAAGTGGTGATACGGATCCGATAATGTGGGCAAAAAGCCAATTGGACTCAGCTGACGCGCAATTTCTGAGGGACCCACCTAATAAATCCGCTCGTGCTTTCGCATGGTGCACTTTTATACTGGTAGCATGCGCTATGCATAATTTGGGCTCAGGACGTTGGCTGGAACTCGCGCTATGAATTTCATGACAGACAGACATTCAGAAACACACACACAAAAACACGTAAACACTCGTAGCGCGTTATTATAGTAGGATTTTAGTAATGTATAGGTATTAATCCAATTTCCATCCTTAAAGTGTTAAAGCAAAACGATAAATCTCTACATGAACGTTTGTTTTTTCAGCTTCGTGAATCTAAAATTGAAAGCCTTGCGTTATGAGGAGATAAAGAATTAAGTAGCTAGAGTTTGAGAAGCACCTGTGAAGAACAATTCTGCACATTAGCTTTTCGGCATTTTCTTAGAGAAGGCACACCAAACGAGAGATGTTTATTTTGTAAAAGGCAATTAGTCTTTTGCATTCGTAACTGTTGATGCTCTCAAATGTAATAGAATGGAAAATGCATTTTGGGTGACTGAATCATAGTGAAACGAAAATGTCAACTGATCATCAACAAAAACGTTAAGTCATTTGTCGGATTTACTTCTTGGCAAACATAAGGAAGGCTAGAAAATTTTCCAAATGTGTGACTTTTGATATGAAAGCATTAGCTAGAAAACTCCACTAAGACCAGAGAAGCTTCTTTGTATGGATAATAAAGTTGCTTGTTATGCTGTTCGCTTTGTAGTAAAGTTAGATTTTATGTCACGCAGTGTTCTCAGAAACATGACAAATCTGCTGTGTAAATAAGGAAAAGCAGAGGCGGGGCAGTATGCCATGACGCATCTCGCCACTACTAGATGAACGGTTGGAGAACATAATCTTAATTTGGGCAGCAATCACTCGGCTTTCCCGCGCATGACAGCAAGATGCTGTGACAAGCGTGGCAAAATAATTGCCCTAATTCGCGTATAAGGCGCACTTTTTCAAATTTTCAAGCGAGCCGCTCGGCCGCTTTACTGTATTCTTCAAAGGAATCCTTACATCGCACGATTCTCTCAAGCAATAGACAGCATGTTATAGGGTCCTTTGTAAAGTCCTTTGGCTCTCTGGGCTGGTCGATTTTGGAAAAAATTGCAGGCGCCTTAGCGTGAAATTAGGGTAAGGAGATCTGATCCAAGAGCTTTTCATATAATAGCAGTTCATGCCAATGCACGTAACTTATAGTGTCAGAAGTATAAAAGAGTCAGCGCATGCAGAAACAGACGCTGCTGTCGCGTCGGCGTCAGATCAAGCGCACTTTCATTCTTCTTACAATCTTTGTTATTCGACGCCTTGACACGCCCAAACTTTTGCAGCGGCATAATGTGTAATATAGAAGGCGGCAATTATTGACACAGACGTGCAAAAAAACTTTTGGCATTTCAAACATAGCAAGACTTTTAGGCAATGGAGCGCTAAGTGCTACTGTAGCAACTACGCCGAGAAAATTCAGTCATATTTGCTTTGTTGCGAAAAGTTTACCCTTCACACAAAGTTTGCTTAAGAGTTGTGATATCTGCGAATGTTCAAAATTGCTTGTTACTTTTATAGATTTTGCACGTGTTCTCAGTTAAATTCGACTTTTACACACGATTGTTTCAAAGATTATGTTGCAGATCGCTGGATGATTTGGCCAAGCAATACAAAATTAGATATGCACCAATGAAGGGGAGTTGGGCAGAGGCGTATTTTAAACATATGGCTGAGATCGAAAAGCGATTTTACAAGTCAGTTTCGTATTTGGAATTTTTCGAGGAAAAAGCATACTTTCATAGGATTTGGAAAGATATGTCATTAAATGAGAGTTTGTCCCCTATGGAACGCGCTCGCTTGGCTGTCTGGGACTACCCGATCGACAATAAGTACACGAAGATGTGGAGGTACGCAAAGAAGGCAACCACATCCTGATTTCAACCTTAAAAATCTAAAAATAAGTAATCTGTCTAAAGTTGTGAATCTACAAGTTTTTGGTTATCCAAGTCACTTTTACTGTTTCAAACTATAAGATTTGCGATTTTGTTGGCTTTGTTAGTCACATAATATGGACAGATTCATGCAAGAGTCAAAGTTGCCGAGTAGCGTAGAAGAAGCAATACAGCGTGTACGTGACCCAAAAGAAGACTTTGCCTATATCGGTATGTTTTCCATAGTAATGACATACTTGTAGAAAATGGGTCCAATTTAGACGACGCTACAGTAGTGAAATACGCAGCGTACACAGATTGTCAGCTAGAACAGATAGGCACGGAGTTTTCTCGCAAACCATATGCAATCGCTGTGCAGTCTGGACATATTCTGAAAGATCGGATATCCAGCGCGTAAAATTCGTATTCTTCAAGTTAAAGCTCAGTTCTCATCCGTAACTATTTTAGCATTCTGAAACTTCTCAATCAAAGAAAACTCGAAACTCTCAAAGAAAAGTGGTGGAACAACAATCCAAACAAGGTGAGCGTTCTGCTCCCACGTCAAATTTGTGCGTAAGTGTATCAATAACCATGAAATTGTAACGACAGCATTTGAGCAAATCTTCGATGTTTGTATCAATGCTTATAGTAGGCGTCATCCGTCTAGTCATCTCGTTATGATGTGTGCTACTGCACACAAATTTGAAATCCTGGATGAGCCGCTGGGGTCCCACCGTACCGCGCTCACACCAAGTGCACAGTGCGGCTAAAATATAACTGCGAACTGTCTGTTTTCAATACTTACATGCTTTATTCTGTTCTTAGCTACACACCCGGTCCAGTTTTTGATTATTTGCCGTCTTTATATGCCATGCATGCTGTTTCAGACGATTATCTCGAATTTATCACTTTTACTTTCAGGAGAAGGCAGAAGATGGGCAAACTGCAAATTTTTGAAGTAAGTCTGCTTTCGTCAGTATTGTCGTATGTAGAAGGAGCAGATTATCTTTTGAGCAGTATTAGTTTTAACTATCTTCTCATTGATATTAAAAACTGTGGTTTTTTTATGCTGAGTTTATTTTGAGGAGCTTTTCTAGATCGAAGAAAGTTGAGACTTGTACTGCCTAACAGATACTCTTCTTCCTTAAAAGCAGACCTCCTTTAAAATCTTGCAAGTTTGCCAATCTTCTGCCTCCTCAAAGTAAAAGTGATAAATTTTGAGATACTCGACCTGGAGCGGCATGCGTGGCGTATAAAGGCGACATATAATCGAGAACTAGACCATGCGTAAAGTTAGGAGCAAAAAACATCAAAATATGGAAAATAAGCAGTATGGCGTCAAATTTTAGGTGTACTGTGCACTTGGTGTAAGCACGGTACGGCGGGATCCCAACGCCTCGTCCAAGATTTCAAATTTGTGTGCAGCAACACACACCGCACTGAGGTGACTAGACGGATGACGTCTGCTATACTTGAGCTTTCATTTTACTCTCGTCAATGCATTTTGTAAGGAGCGAAATTGGTGAAAACAAGCATTCTCCAAAAGCTTTCGTTGAACAGAAGAATAACAGCAGGGTTCCGCCAAGACCAAAAAAACTCAGTTGCGACATACTCATTGTAACGCTGACGTAAAAAGGAACCCCAGTTGGGTTATGTGGGCAGGAGATTGCGTGGGTAATAGTGAAGGTCCAGAATTCCCATCCGTGGGGAAGCGGCGGAACTTTTTTTCCAAATGAAGGAGCGTGGCATTAGCCACACACTCCAAAAAATTTTTTAGATGCTTATTACAATTTCTGCGAACCCATAGGCCCTAAAATCTAAAAGAAAAAATTCTTAAGGTTACATTTTTTTAAATCAAAAATCATTCTAATTATTCAGAAGAAGAAACAAGTCACTTGCACATTTTCACTCATTCGAATTAAGGTCAAATATTCCGCGACCCATTTTCGGGAGGAGGGGTTGTTTTGCAGATTCCTTTACCGTCATGCTTTGATTAAGCCTTCGAAATGCTTTTGCAAGACTCAGCTTTGAAGTTTAAAAGGAAGGGCTTTCAAATCTAGGAGGGATAAAAATAACAGCGAACATCAAGACCACTCAAAAGCACTCATTCCTTGAGAACTCAAAAATCCCAATTCAGTGTAAGGCGAAAATCTCGAGTGATAGATAAAAACAAAAACACAAACTTTCTTCAAAGTCTTTTTTGAAACCGATTGTGGACAAGCGGTTTACGTTCAGGCAATCTGTGCGGATACGAGTGATGAAAGCGATGGCATCTCTATCCAAAACATTGGCGGTGTCTTCATTGTTATCCTAGGAGGGATAGTGATCTCGGTGATAACACTCTGTATTGAATATTTTTATCAGAGGTGAATGTCATTATAAGTTCCTCACTTAAACTTGAAGAAGTCTTTTTTTTAGAAAAAGCAGTGTACACGATCTCGAGAATCACAATGACGTTGAGGAAAGGAAAGAAACTAATGGAGCGAGCCTTGCGTCACTGCGTTATCATAACAATTCCAGCGGCTCTGCAAATCACAACAACCACGCCACATCTTTCGCTGCTGACAATGCGGGATTTCAGTATTAGTAAACCAAAGGAAGGACATTAGGAACAGTGAAGATTTTTTGGTACTTTTCCGTTATCCGGACCCATTTTTTCAAAGAAGCATATTGCTCCTTCCTTCATAACATATTTGGTCCCAACTTCACAGGAAGGAGTGTCAACCTTGCTGACACGTGTCAAAAAAAACTTGGCATGTCCACACGCTTAACAGTTTATTAAGGCCCCCGCCAGAGTGCCGAAGCCACGCCAGCGCTACGCCTGCGCCGAGCCAGCGTTTCGATCGATACACGTGTATTTCGTTGGGGCGGGGCCCTGGCTAGAACTAAGTCAGCTAGCCCCGCCCCAACGAAATATACGTGTATCGATCGAAACGCTGGCTCGGCGCCGGCGTAGCGCTGGCGTGGCTTCGACACTCTGGCGGGGGTCTAAGACTTTGAATTGCCCTACCTAGCACCGTAAGTTCAATCTGTTTTTTAGTCAATAGTGGCCCCAATTTCGATTGAATAGTATCGAAAATGAAAACTGTTATCATAAGAACGTCATTCTGTTATTAATGAACGGATTAGACTGTCAAGAATAAGGAAATGGGCTAAGGTCTTATCATCTAAGTGACGAAACAAGCAGCAGCGAGGAACTTCAAGCCGTCAATTACAGTCTCATCTGGCTAAATTCGCATGAAGAAAGGTTTGAAGAGAAAGACAATGCTGATTCATTGCCGAAAACAATCAGAATGTTCTAATATAAGTTCTAGATTGTTTTGCTCTTATAGAAAACGATTAAAAGCTTCTAGGCAACCGCAAATGCTCTTTTACCTTACTGGAAATGATCTAGGAAAAAACATGTTAAAAATAGACCAAAACGTGTCAATATTTTCCTGATTCGTGGCAGGGAGGCAGTCCTCAAGGATTCTACGAAAAATTGTTTTTAGACTAAAGAACGTACTTTGTGCGAGCCTTCTAAAGAATGGGTCCAGATAACAAAAAGGTACCGATTTCTTTTCTAGAACACAGTGCTGTGACCTATTAACTGTAGTCGGTTGTCCGATAATCGGACTTCCACACCACTTACCAGGGAAAGCTCCTCGGTCGAAGTGACCATATGCGAAGTGATGCATGTGGGTAGACAGCTTTTCGAACGCTAATCTCAAAACTGCTTTCGCTATCTGCGGAGCATTTCTGTAAAAGGAGTTATGAGCCTTTGCTTACCCCAAAAACGGCCTTCTCTCTATCAAGGCACGGAAAGGCATTTCTTTGTGGCGATGAAGTAGTGGTGAGTGGCTGCGGTTCAAAGGTTGTGACCAGGATTCGAATCCTGTTGTCGCTCAGCGGTTTTGCATTTTCTAAAATTATTGCTTGCCTTTGAAAATGCCACGCGCATGGTGAAAACCATTTTTGTTTTCGCATCACTCCCTTATGGCCACTTCGACTAAAGTGCCTTCCCTGGTTAGCAGTTCCAATTTTGATTTCGTGCCAGGGTTGCTGTCAGTGGTCAATAGATCCGTCGTCTTCATTATACTTTGAGACATAAAACGTCTCAAGCGGATCTTCTTTGACTCCAGAACAACATGTTTGCTTTGAAAGTAAACTTGGGCTTAGTACGCAAACAACTTTCGTTCCTGCATCTCACAATCCACAATTTATTCAATGGCGATTTTCATCTGTTACAAGGGAATGGTCAGAAGTCGAAGTGGCCAATTCAAACAAGCTGCCTACCATTAGATGCAGCATAAAATATTGACTTTGAATCTGTCTTCCTCTGCAGAACACTTTTGTGATCGAAATTATGGGCCGTTAAAGGCATTATTTTGCTAAGAATTTGCGTAAAGCACAAACTTGGCTGAGCGGAACCATTCTCGTCTCAGCGCTGCTCCAAAACATGCAAATAGGTCATTTCATACGGTTCGTACCTAATGGTGAGCTAAAATGGCAATAACGTGCCTAGTTTCGCAATTTTGTGTACGATTTTCTCGAATAAAGCTGCTCATAATTTGGTTCAGCATATAAGGAGGACAAATTTCAATCGGCGTTCTGTGCTTCACAAATTGTATGCAGCTTCTTTGAATTGGCCACTTTAATTTCTGATCACTCTCTTTTTGTACTACAGAAAAATTGCTGTGTTATGTCACTGTTGTGTAAGGAGAGGCTCCACAGAGAAGAGCTCAGTACTCTGACTGACTGATCATTGGCAATTGTTATCATAATTGTCGCATACACGTGCAGTAAATTTTAGTTAGATGCGGTTCACGCAGTGTATCTTCTATGAAGCACAAACCGCTAATAGCTACCATTTGGCTTCGCATATAATCGCTGGAAGATATTTTGTAGTTTTCACAAAATTATCTCAGCCACCTTACGATATGATTTAGCAAAATGGCATAAGCCTTCCCCCCTCCCCCCCCCCCACCTCCCCCACCCCCGTCCCCGCTCTTGCACGACAGAGGTCAAACGTGTGATACAACTGTCGCAATGAAGGATCGTAAAAGAGGACCTACGGTGGTTTGGGGAGGAGAATGTAAGGGGGATATGGTTAAAACACTGTAGGTTAGGAAGGAAATCGCGTAGCAAACGAATAAAATGCTTTTTGTTGTCCATAGAATGTGTAAAATGTTCGTAGAATGCTGTGTATTAATGTATCACACGAAGAAAAGTAAACAGTATTTTTGTAAAACATTTGCAAATGTAGAGGCTTCCTCCGTGCGCTGCACTTTTGAAGATTTGTGACAGCGGCCATTCGTAATAATTTATGTATCAAAAGATGCGCCTTTCAATGGTAGTTCGAATGCTGTCTTCCATATTTGCGAAACGATAATCTGAACAGAGTTATGATTATTTTTTCACGAATGAATTGTGCTACTACGAAGGGTCAAAATCATCCATAAAAATTCTCCTTCTTCAAATGCTAAATATGAACTAGATAGATATAATGCAACAGTATACCATTTAAGGTTCTCTTAAATAGCTTCAAACGGTAACCTAGAACAAATCTGGTGAACTAAACACTCAAAAATACACAATTTTTCTAAAAAAAAGTCCAATACTTTTTTCAGAAGCTCGTTTCGCAGATATCGTGCACAGATTAAGATTAACATTTCGAGGTGCATCTTACGGTATACATCTCAATTAAATGGCCACTGTCACCGAGTATACTTTCTTTGTTAGTTTATTTCTCCACGAGCTTGGCATTTTTAAGTCTGAGATGGTGTCGCATACGTGGATCGAATCTGGTGGCCTCAAAAATGACTAAGAATTTCAGAAGAGTACCTTCAGAAGCTCAAAAACTGTTAAAGATAATGTGTGATAAAGATGTTGAATGTACCGATTGCCCTTGACGTCCTGCTTCCGAAGCCTCGCTGCAGTCGCACACACTTGACAAAAGCGTATATCCGTCACAACGATAGCCATCAATCTTTAATGGTGTATTTTTTATGGTTTTCGTGGCCCATACTATTTAGCTACACTTTGGAGATGCTCTATAACATTTGTGCAAAATCTTATCTTATTTCGTAGCTTATAAATTTTCCTATACTTACTTTTATGTATGACAACAAAAAATGGAAAAAAAAATCGTATCGGAGTCTCATCTGTATCTCCTTGAAGATACGGAAGCTTCTTCGCTGAAATTTTACTTCAATGCGAAGCCATCCTGCTACGTTTTATCCCAAAAGTTTCAAGCTGTTTGTTGCGTCTTTAGTGAGCTACAAATTTTCAAGCCCAAAAAATCCCATTTTTGAATTTTAGGATCGCAATGAACTTTTTCGAGATCACTGCTCCTGAATGGCGGCAGGTTTTTTCTTCAGTTGCCTGAGCACTCTACTACGCAACCTATTTATTGTAGCCCCTCAACCTTTCCTTGACTTTAGTTACGAATTTTCAAATTACCGTGCTCGTGTACGTTTTCAACATCGTAGGAAGGCACTAGAGTGGATTTGTTCGCGAGTCTGTGCAAAACTAGAAAACAAGTTTTTCAGTCTTAAACATTCTCTCTGCTTTAAAAATAGCAATTTTTTCTGCAAAAAATGATGTCGCATACAGGGATCGAACTCAGGACGAACCCAAGAGATCATTATAGTTTGAAAACGTTCTTATTTTGGAACCATAATCAATGCCTTTCTTTACCTTGAGTTGTGTCAAACTCATCAACCGCAGGAGACTTTACCTCATCAAAAAATAAATTACTGTAAAATAATCACTTCCATCGACTGAAATGAATCGCTCTGTATTCCTAAATCTTCCATACTAGTTATTTTATTCCACTTTTTTGTTTATAGCTCAACGCTAGGGTTACAGCTTAACTGTCGGTATCAGGCTGAAATTGGTGTTCTCCTTCGTCAACTAATGTTCTTTTCATCCATCTTTTCGCGACCACAATACAACCAGCTAAAACTTTGTAAGGTTTTTCTACTCACCCAAAGTACACAAAATTACTTTGCAAGGTTTTTGAGCAATCCATTACTTGCATTTTCTATTTATTTGGAGACAATTCTTTCTTTGACGTACTCTTACTTGCTTAAAATCTATCGCCATTATTTGTGGTGACCTCACATTCATTAGGTTACCTCAAAGACATGGAAATCAAGGGGGAGTTGAAATGGGGCGGGGGTCGTACGGATGGGTAACCTCAAGGGAGGGAGGTGGGGGGGGGGGGGGAGGGGGGGGGGGAGTCGTAATGGAGGGTTCCGGATCGCATCAACACGCTTGACCTTGATTACAATGTCATCTCCAGCAATTAACTCCATACTTATTTTGTGTGAAACGGCAAATCGTGGAGCCGGCAAAATTTGATGCACACTTTCCTCTTTCTTAAACATTTAAAACCCTTTCAACTTGCTTCTTTGGTGGACTCATGAAAGAAGAAATAGTAGCTAGCAACTTTGCTGATACTGATAAATTGTCTTTCCTGGTGTGTTTGCTTAGTTATTTATATTTTAAAAAAGAGTGCTACATCTGGTACAATTAACGCTTTTTGTTTCTAGCTTTTCTGCCTCTTTCTAGCAGTCGTGTACATCGCCCTGGGGAAATATGACTTCACTAGCTAGCACACCCGGTTTCACACTGAATTGGATAGCAGAAACGTCAAGCATTAAACTTCCACGAGCAAATGGGAGGACTAATCTCTCCCGCCGATTGCGCTTCACCGCCAGCTCAGACTACCTTGCTATTCTTCCTCTCCTGCACAGAATACAACCTGTGAGAGCACCTTTAGAAATAGAATGATTCTCTAAGCGACTTATATAAAGTCATCGCATCTGCCAATCGCTAAATAAAGAGATTTACCGTGCTGTTTACATGACTGTGGTGAAAAATTCGATTATGACTGCAAGCTTTCATTTCTTAGAAGCCACTGAACAAATCAATAAATCGATAGAAGGACCGAACAAATTTTCGAAAAAACCTAAAACCGGCTCCGGGGTCGAAAACATCTGTGTGCAAAGTTTTGAGCTCAATCGTTTAAGCCACGGGCGTTTCTCAACGCATAACGCACATACTCTCCAAACGGACAATTCTTGACTTTTATGCCTAGAGATTCTATGCAGCCATTTTTTTTTCTCTTTCTGGCTGTCGTGTCTTTTCCGTACAGAAAAATTTGCTGTTTTCGAAACGCCCATTTCTTATTTAAAACTAGCTGCGGTCCCTGGTTCCGCCCGGGCCGAGGGTTCAAAATGGGCCGTCTGCTTCAAGATATTTGTTTACCATTCCTCCACTTCCTTCAGTTCATATCTTCTCTTCTTCTCCCGTTTCAGCTCCAAGTCAGTTCCAGCAGACATGTAGTATCTGTGGTGAATTTGTCTTCCTTCTTGACCAACTCGCTTCGTGACACCGCGTCCTCCTCATCGCAAAATGTAAATCATCTCTGTTGCCCCTTACTAACTTGGAGAAATGAATGTTATAGCTTTCATTTTCCTAAATGTTAGTAAACAAATCAATAAATCGATAGAATGACCCAGCGAAAAATCGCAAAAAGCAGCCTATCTTTTGTGCCGTGTTTCATTTATAGGGAAATAAATTTTAGCCTCTTCGGTTCACATAAAGAGGAGTCTATAAGACACAAACATCCTAACAAACAAAGGTACAGTGTTTGAAAATTACTTATATGGGTTACAAAAAATGCGCAAGTGACTTGTTTCTTCTTGTAAACAATTGAAATAATTTTTGAATTTTTCAAAATTCAAATTAGCCTCATGAAAAAAATTTTTTCGGGGGCGTGGCCGACGCCACGCCCCCCCCCCCACTCAATAATCATCTTTCAGAATCTGCTTGTAAAAACGGGGCATGGAAAAATGTAAGCTAACGCCGCAGAATGTAAGCTACGATCTGACATGTGATCAACGTTTGGGTTTTCAAGGACTGATCAATTTTCAACTGAATCTACCTCGTCGTTCTTCAAAAGCGTAATACTTGTTTTCTTTCCTCATTTTCCTTATCAAATCCCCCCCTACTCCCCCCCCCGTCAATGCCTACTGCTTTTTTTAGTTGATACAGGACAAAGACCACGAAATGAAGGCAATTCGTACATCAAATGATTACATACATGCCACTTCTTATATAGCTGAATGTTTGTTTAGTTGATTTTCAAGCGGCACTCAAATTACAGAATAACGAAACTCGATAGAATTTACCTGCATATGTCAAATTGGCATTCACCTCACTTCTGAGGTCAACAAATGCGCTATGGTCATAATCCACTAGTCTATACCATCAAGCAATCAAACATGTTTTTTGAAAGCTTTGTCATCTGCTTAATAATAAATTTAACAGCTACAAGCGAAGTTATAGGTGAGTAACCCAGACAAGCTACAAGGTAGTGGTCTCAATCTTTCGAACTTTACAGTTTACATCTCTGAAGAAGGCGATGTGGAAGCTTCAGCCATTCTTCGGCATTTGAATATTTCCAGAATGTATTACTCCAACAAATTCGGAGTAGATGATATCACTTTAAATCATGCTGTGATTAAAAACACAACATCATCAGACGAGCGTAAGTGAATCTTCAATTTCACTACTCATTAGCTTTGAGAACTTGAAAATCTGAATCAAGACGTAAACAGAATTTGAGTTATCGTCGATTCCTTGACAGGACACCAGTGCGAACACGCGCCGCGCGGTGAAACGCTCGCTCCATTACAAACGCGCCATTGTACAATTCGTGTTCTCGCAGCATTTCATCCGCGCCGCGCGTGGTCCGCAACGTCTGAACAGTCCGTGCGGTCAACGAATCGACGATATGTTTTTGTTATTCAACCTCTAAACTCTCTCATCAAACACATTTAGTACGCACACTAATCGAAAACGCCAGCCTCCTGATCAGTATTTGTAAAACTGAGGAAGGTCAGCAGCTAGTAACAAGATTATCGCAACTTACTGGCATAGCAACAATTCACATTACTCGAAGCAGCTGGAAACTACTGAGTAGCGAAATATCTGGTTTGTCCTACATCTAATAACTTATTCAAACTTTCTAGTTTAACAAAGCAATTTGATCAGAAGCCAATAGCAACATGTCGTTGACAATGCAAAAGTTGCAGAAAAAGTTTCCAAAAATCAGATTTTTCTGGTTCCTACACTCACTGTATTCAACAAAGCCATTTTGGATATTCTACCAAGACTGGATATCTCACCTGACACGTGCATACTATTTGATTTTACGCATGGTAGGTCTGTCTATTGCTATTTCGTTTGAAGCTGGTACAGTACTTGAAATCAACAAATAGTCGATGCCAAAGTGGCTAACGACCACAGCAATGTCGAAACACTTAGATTTGTAATAATTTAGACTTGTCAATAATGTAATTGGCACATCGAGAAAAGCCAAATATTGAAGTCACTGAGAAACGGCAAGCAATGATAGAGGTTGATTAAACTATGCCAGAAATAGGCGAGTATTAAACATACATCCAAAAAGCGTCAAGTTAGATCTTTGAGTCCAATGGCTTTTATTCAGGGCTTTTTGGGAGACCCACATGGCTATTACTATCTTAGCGTAACTTTCGTTCCGACCCCCAGAAAAGAGTATTAGGTTGGAAACTAAGTTTTGCAACTCATTCAATAACTTTCCTCTTACTCAACATGGCGCGCTCAAATTTTGCCACTGTGTCTCTTATGACGTAAGCTCCAAGCACAGTTGCAGTCTGCCAAATTCTGACGTCGCAGTGGGAGTTACGGTAGGTATATGGTATGAAGGGAAAAATTATAAAACTCGAAAGATTCGGCTGAAACTTGGCATAGGGAGGTTATCCGACACACTGATCACGAGAGCGATACTGAAGTTGCGCGTTAAAGGCTTTTTTGTAAGATTACTGCAAGTGTAAGGTGTAGGGCCCCATCCTAAACAAGGAAAGAGGCGTTGATGCAAGTAAATATAATATTCGTGTCAAGCAAGTCAAAGAGCCTTCATATGTAAACACTCAGGATATTTTGTGGTTTTGATTCCTTAGTCATTGACGGTTGTCCCCAACAGCCTTGCGTACAGCGACTCTTTCGAAATTGTGAGGGCTTATTTCTTTTTTGAGTGGGCCGAATAAGTCAACCTATAGCAGCAATTACTACGATTCCGGATGATTGCGCATGGTCTAGACTGCCAACAACTTCATTTTGCCTCAAAACCCCCAAAATTTTTAAAACTTGATAGTTTTCGAAAAATGTTTGGAATTTTTCTAATTCGTTTTCAAAATTCAAGCAACTTTGGTCGTTTGTAGCTCACAAACGCTCTACATACTGCCAAGTTTAAGTGCGCCACATCCAAAGAGAGTTGAGTTATGAAAGTAGTTGCAAAACTTAGTTTCCAGCTTAATACTTTTCTACATCTCTTTCCTAGCCGTCAATTAAGCGTCGTAGTCATCACTATTCGAGAGATCTCATTAGGAAGGATGATTGTTCGAAGCGGGCTTTTGGAATGAGCTCTATACTAGGAGGGGGGGGAGTTATAAGGCCACTTTTCTCAGGCGCAGCTGGAGCGCCCACTAGTGGGCGAGGCGGTAAACTATTTACATAGTGTGGCAGTGGCGCGGTAGCAAGAAAGCGGATTGTGAAGCAAATCGTCGAAGGTTCAGATCCTGTTGCTATCGCCTAGTTTTGCAGTTTTGTAAAAAATCTATTGGATGACAGTAAACGAGAAATACTCATTGCTACGCAGTTGAGACAAGCTATTCACTGCAAAAAGCCACTATTTTTACAACCGGTTAAAATCTTCTAAAATACGTAAATCTGTGGAAATTATGTTACAATAATGGTTTAAATGATATATCAACACTTATAAAATACAACCACAAAATGTTCAATGCAGAAGGGCTTTTCGCAGCGCGCACATCGGATAAAATGTAAGCGATTGTAGAAGGTTATAGCTGATTTCGTGACTTGTTGCAGTAAATAGGTTGTTTAAACTGCATAACAATGAATATTTCTCGTTTACTCTCACCCAATAGACTTTTTGAAAAACTGCAAACAAAATGCCAGCGACAGGATCCGAGCCTTCGACTATTTGCTTCCCATTCCGCAGTCTTGCCACGGCGTCACTCCCACACTCTGCATGGTTCTAGCGCCTCGCCCATTAGTAAATGCCCCGGTTGCTCCGGAAAAAAAATGGCCTTATGACTCCTAACCACAAAACCGTTCGACAGCTAGCGAAAGTAATTTTGAGATGGCCTTACTTTCTTGGTATAGAGGACATTCCAAAGGGCCACTATGACCGATCATCCTTCCTCTGTTAATCAGCATCCGATCCGGACTACGGATGGTAATAGAGTACTTGTCATACGTCTATGCAGTCATCTATGTCTTATGCATGCCTTTCTCGCCCATGCACTCTTTTCCATGAGCAACTGTCTAACATATCATTATTGTTGAAAATATCAATCAAAATTCAATTTGCAGTTGTTAGAATCATTAGGTTGGCTGAGAAATATGTGCGTAGTAACGTGCAATTAGCACGACTGTATCCGAAAATGGCTGAAGTTCCAAAAGTTCACATATTGAATTTCTAACTCTTGCTACTCAGCAAGATGTAGGGCAGTACAATACCGCTCCTGAAAAAAAGTGCCGCACTCCGGCGGTGAGCACCAGAGTGTGCTGGAGTGCGTCGGAGAGCAGCTGAGTGCTCCGCACATCACTGAAGTGCGCCGGAATCCGCGTCGCATTGCCATATCTCACTTCAAAATGGAGGAATTCCGAATTCAAGGACACCGTTCGACCCAGCACGCTGAGGCGCATCTTCTGATATACAGAACTACGCAGTTTATCAGAGTACGGTAGATACACGGTAGGCAGAAGTTTTCGCCAATTTCTGCAGATTTTTTGGGTGGGTTATTCATTGTGCTGAAAACAACATTTACATTGATTTATGGTTAATGGCATATTGTAGTCTATTGTAGGAGTACGGAGTTTTCTGCTTAGATTTTTTTGTAAAATTTGCTCAAGTTGTTTGTCTACTGCGCGGATTGCGATTACTACATTCATTTGCCGTTCAAGGCACAGCGCGCAGGGATATCTACGATGTAAGGTCAATTTATTTGTGTTAGAAATGTTACTTATGGTCGCTTCCAGTGCTCGTTCGAATTAGGAAAGGATTCAAGTCGCACTTACGATCCGGGATGAAATGGTATCATTGAATGCGTTTTGTTGGGCTGTTCCACACCTACTTTCTGTATTTGCCTGAACGTCTCTCTAAAAGAAGTTATGAACTTTGAACGTCCAAACCTTGCAAACAATCAATACCATACTAACAAGAGTTGAAGGTTTAAAGACAATTAGTTATGTCTCCAAATAAAGGCTTTCTTTTTTGTAGTCAGTGCACTCAACATCCCACTTATTATTTTTTGAACTGATTTTCAAAGCGCAATGCGCAGACGCAACTCAGTATACACTTTCAAACGCTCATACTTTTCTTAGAGACATATCAGCAGCTACGGAAGGCAGATTTGGGATCATCTCGGCAAGACACAGGTCGCTTAGCGTCATTCCTGGGGCCATTTCCTGATTATAATATCAGCTATATTTATTATGACTTCATGCTGTAACAATGCCGTCGATGTTGTTACTTAGCGCTTACGTGATTCTGTGTACAGTAAGCCTAATTTTCACCATAGCATGTCGCAGCGCGCATCACACAAAAGCAATAGAACTGTGTTCAAATAACAGCCCGACAAAAAATCATTTGAAGGGTCTTCTTCAAAGCCGAGAGAAAGCTTGGTGAGTTTCGGAAATATGCAAGGTTCAGAAACCATCTATTTACCGTATAAATCTACAGTAGCATCCTACAAAGCGAATCTGGCATCAGTACTGTGATCTGCATGCCATATTGCCCGCGTGGGCTGAGTTTCGCGTTGAACTGAGGTTCTCGCTTACGTGTTGCGGACGGGTTTTGTAAGGGCGCAACTCAATACTTTTGTAGGTAGAGGGCTCCCGTAGGCATAGCTCAATAGAGTAACTTCTCTAGTTTCTAACTGCAAACAAAAGGCGCAGAAAGTCCTTTGCTGTGAGGGAGATGGCTAGCAAACTTTGGAAAAATCCTTGTTTATTTAAAAAATATCTACGGTAGCCCACAGTGAGAAGCTGTCTTGTATTAGGTTGTCCGGAAATTAATGCCCGTTTTGAATTTCAACCGCCGCAGGTTTTGGCTGAATTATTAGTGATCTTAATTTGATCGAGAACTTCGCTTACAAAGTTTTTAGGACCCACTGCTTGCGAAAATTTTAGTTATTCTGCACGAAAAGGCTTTACAGTAACATGTGTGAAGCATGGTCCGACTGCACTGTCCACAGAAACTCTAACCTACAAAATTGCGCAGGCAAATTCGTCAGCAGGAGGGCGAGAAGAGCAGACAAACTTGGCGTGACCTAGCTACTCGCAACTGCAACTTTACTGTAAAGCCTTTTCGTGCAGAACAACTAAAATTTTTGTAAGTAGTGGGTCCTGAAAACTTTGTGAGCGAAGTTCTCGATCAAATTAAGATCACTGGTAATTCAGCCAAAACCTGCGGCGAGC